TGGTGGTGTTGGAGTTTGAACTCAGAGCCTTGCACTTGCTAGACATGTGCTCTACGACTTGAGCCATGCCCCCAGCCCTTATCTTTTAATAAAATAAAACTTTATGTAAAAGAAACAATAAGAGAAAAGTAAGTGAAAAGTCAACTCATAGAATGGGAGGAAATATTTGTAAATCATAAATCTGATAAGAGACATATATCTAGAATATATGAAGCACTCTTAAAACACAATAATAAAAAAAGAGAAAAATAGCAGTTTAAGAAGGCTAAGAATCTGAATAGACATTTCTCCAAAGAACATGTCAAAGGGGCAAATAGTACATGAAAAGATGCTCAATATAATTAGCCGTTAGGGAAATGAAAATCCAAACCACAATGAGGTACCACTTCACACCTATCTGGATGGCTGGAATGAAAAAGAAAGAGAAGCTGAGTGCCAGTGGCTCACACCTATAACCTAGCTACTCAGGAGGCAGAGATCAGGAGGATCACCATTCAAAGCCTCCCCAGGCAAATAGTTCGCAAGACCCTATCCCGAAAAACCCTTCACAAAAGTAGGGCTGGTGGAGTGGCTCAAGGTGAAGGCCCTGTGTTCAAGCCCCAATACCACAAAAAAAAAAAAAAAAAAGACAGAGACTAAGAAGTAATGGCAAGGATAGGAAAAAATAAGAACCTTTAAAATTGTTGGTGGGATTGTCAAATGGTGTGGCTTTTTTGGAAAATAGTTTGGCAGTTCCTCAAAATGTGAAACATAGAGTTAACATAGGACCCAGCAATTCCATTCCCAATATATATCAAAGAGAACTGAATACATATATTCACACAAAACCTGTAAACCTATATTCATCACAGCATTATTCATAACAGACAAAAAGGGTAAATACCCAAATTTCCATCAACTGATGAATGGATAAATAAAATGTAGTCTGTTCATGCAATGAAATAGCATTCAGTCATAAGAAGAAATAAAATACTGATTTATGCTATATTCATGAACCTTGAAAACATTATAACAGAAAGAAGTCAGCCACAACAGGCCACACATTGTATGATTCTATTTATATGAAACCTGCAGAATAGACAAATACATGAAAAAGTAAGTACATTAGTGGTTGCCTAAGGCTGGGGGTGGAGGGAATGAGGAATGACTGCTAATGGATATGGATTTTTGGGGGGATGATAAAAATGTTCTAAGATTAGATAGTTGTGACGGTTGTACAACTCTGTGAATATACTAAAAACTACTGAACAGTACACATTAGATGAATTTTACCTCAATAAAGCTGCTTTTCTATTTTTTTTGTTTTTGTCTTTGAAAAGGGCATGATGTTGGGGGTGGGGGGAAAGGAACAAGTTTAAAATCAAGCTTACCCTTCAAAGTAAATTTGAGGTAGTGCAATAGGGCATGAAATATTTCTATTTTTAGCACTGATGTTCTAACTTTAGCAAGAGCCCAGTCCTGCAATATTATACATAGCATTCCAACCTCAGGCAGAGAGGATTTGCCCTTTCCAAGAACCATTTTTATTGTTTTTATAAGTGCCTTATATGTTAAGAACACCTCCAAATATCAGAGTCTTTTTTATTTTTGTGTGATGCCTGCCTCTAATACCCCCAAAGTGTTTTAAAAGAATAACAGTTTTATTTTGCTATGTGAAATGGCATTTAGGATGAAAGGCTTTTTCTGTACTGTGTACAGTAGTTGGGTGCCCAGGCCGTAAGATCAGACTGCCCAAATTCTCATCCAATATGAATTTGTCAGTTTCTCTATCTGTAACATGCAGGTAACGGTGTTAGTGCTATTATTTTCATAATGCAGGTCTGAGAATTCAGGAAATAAGGCATGTGAGATCCTTAGCACAGTGTCCAGAACACAGCAAATGCTGAGACTGTAACTATTGTTAGTTATTACTTCTAGTAACATTTAACCAGGTATTGGAATTAAGAAATGGGTGAACAAGATTGTGCAATGTAACTGAGAACTGAGTATTACTGTCCTAATACTAAACTGAAAGGAGATATAATATTCTGCTTCTTAGTTTTGCTAACATTAATTATACTGGATACCTAGTCACGGTATTTGGGTAGTTTTGGCATTTATTGCTGGAATACTCTTTAGATAGGCTTGCTACAGATTAAGACGGAAGTTTTCATTAGTATTTTTCAAAGAACACATGTGATTCAAGTATTGCTACAGAGCTGATATTTTAGGCTTATAACAAACTTGTTGCTTTACAAATCATGTCTTGAATTTGAATAAGACTTCAGAACTTGAATGAGAGAAGTCTCCTCTTCTCCTCATGTGAGGATTAGTCCACCAATTATTTTCCTATTGGGAAAAAGACTATATTTGGGCTGGGGGTGTGGCTCAAGTGGTAGAGCACTTACCTAGCAGGTGCAAGTCCTGAGTTCAAACCCCAATATAGTCCCCCCTCCAAAAAGAAGGGCATAATTGTGTGTGTAATGCTGTGCCTTGAACACACAACCTCTTGCATACTAAGCAAGTATTCTACCACTGAGCTACCTTCCCAGCCCCAGAGACTTTTAATTTCTTAAATAAATGTTAGTGAGAATAGTTACAAAATAGTAATACCTCAATCACTGAGTGAAAGATGTAAAAGGCTCACCATCTTGAACTTTTATTTGTATATTTTAAAAATAGGCTTTAAAACTTTTCTGGATTGGAGGGAGTAAATCCAACTAAGATATATTTTAAGCACATATATAAATATCACAATGTATCCCCCTGTATAACTATTATATGCTAATAAAATCATAAAAAATAAAGAAGAGTACAAATTAAAAGGAAAAAAAAAAACAAAAAATACTTCTGGATTAACCAGATTTCTAGACGTGAAGGAAAGGAGAGAAGGAATTTGAAAGTTCTTATAAGACTCTTCCCTTTTCCCAAATGTTTATTTCTAACATTTTAAAATTGTCTTAGCAGATAAATTCTCTGAAGATTATAAGTCAATTTCATAAATTCCTGGTCATTCAGTTCCTGAATATGTGGTTTATCTTCACAGTTTCTTACTGTAACAATCTGTGGTGGTTGTGATGTTTGGGAAAATAGTGATTGCACCAGAGGAGAAAAATGACTATGGAAAGGCTCTCTCCACTCCCCAGTGTGGTCTGGGCAAGTAAATTCCTCAATTTTCTTGTGCTTCAATTTCTCTACCTTAACACAGGAATATTTTTCTTACAAAGTTGATGTCAGGATTAAATGAGATCACACATATAAAGTGTACTAACCATGTAGTAAAGTATTAACTACTAATATTGTTATTGTGACAGTGATCAAAAAGAGGTAAAAATGTCTCAGAGCTGCAGATAGTAACAACCCTTGGTAAAGAGAAAGGCTTTGTTGAAAGTGTGACCTTCCAAAGTGTACCTGAGCTATTTCCAAAGTGTGGGGAGAGCATGGGAAAGAGGTCCTTGTCTCTTGTCTTGTTAGTAGCCACAAGAGCCAGGGCCCAGGGTAAGATGGAGGGGGCGTTGGTGGGACAATGTGGGGAGGATGGAGACAAGAGGGAAGTCAGTGACTTTGAGGAGTTGGGCAGGTCTGAAAAACAAGAAAATCAGGATGCTTGCTGCTACATTCCTACAATATAATTGCTTGCTATTTTCCTTACTAAGACAAAAAATATGCTCAGTACTTGATGTTACCTTCACCCACATTATACGCCCTAATGGACACGCAGCAATGTAAAATCTTACTGGCTATTGGAAATTAAATAGCTGTCCAACTTCTATCAGGGCAGACATTGGATTACAGAGATGATGTCCACAATCTCATAGTGGTGTTAGATTTAATTCCTGACACTAGCACTTAACAGAAGTGTGAACTTGGTAAGTCACCTCACCTTTGCAATGGTTCCATCACCTGCGAAAAGGGGAAACTATTTACCTAACAAAACGCTGAGATTAAAGTATTCCTAGCATCTGCCACTTGAGGGATGCACTTTCTATTGTATTTTGTGACGATGGAAAAACGGTTAAAAGATTGTACGTAAACAGCGTTACCAAATGTGCTTGAAGATGCGTTGACACTGTACCGCCTTAATGGGATTTACAGTCTCAACGATGATGTTTTTATTAAATTAATTCCCGGTGCACTTTCCTCCCCTCACACATCAGCTCAAGAAACTTTAAAATACTATTTCTGGGGCACATCTTACCGACAGCACAGCCACCTGAGCTTTGGCTAGCCGGATACCGAAGGATAATTAATTGGATTGATTCTGGAAGGCGTTTCTAGGAACGCCGACTTTTGGAGGTTCGCCCGGCGTCTAGTGCCGCCGTCAGGAGTAAACAGCTCTTAACGGCGCGGGAAGCGATGCCCGGGAAAGCCCGTGACCCTCCATGTGACAGTTCCACTGGTCGTCCCCCTTACTTCTGCCACCAGGTTCACGTCCCCGCCACAGGGCGCCTCGTGTTCCGCCTCGCAGACAGAGGAGGCTGGGCACGTTATGGAGGGCCACCCCGTTCCCGCCCGAGCAGCTCAGGACTAGCAAGCCGGCGGCCGCAGCCCACGGGAGGCCGGTGCGGCACCTCACCCCCACCCCCCGGAAGTTTAAAGTCTCCACTAGCGAGGTCTGGGAGTCACCTTGACTCTCCCCGAGAGGGGGGAGAAAGTTAGCCCTGCGCCGGAGGCGGGGTGAGTGAAACCAAAGACACAGAGCACTTTCGTGAGCTAAAGATGCCGTCACGTTTTCCTGTTTTCAGGGTAGCGAAAGACCTAGCTAGCTTAAGGGTGACAAGAGCAGGTGGCAGGACTCCGCCCACCACCACGCTTCCCCTCCTTCAGCCTGCACGCTTCAAGCGATCCCTGAGATCCCGCCTCTCGGGCGCGCGCGAAGAGTTGTCGCGAGGTGCGTTGTGGAAATTGTAGTCCTACCGCGGAGAATCGCCTCCGGACGAACGGCTCTAGCCTACAGACCCCATGATGCTGTGCGGCGCCGGCCGCTCCCGGATGTGTGCTTGGCGCCGGAAGAGAAGACGGCCCCCCTCTCTCGGCCCGGCCATCTTGTGGGAAGAGCTGAAGCAGGCGCTCTTGGCTCGGCGCGGCCCGCTGCAATCCGTGGAGGAACGCGCCGCCGAGCCACCATCATGCCTGGGCACCTACAGGAAGGCTTCGGCTGCGTAGTCACCAACCGATTCGACCAGTTATTTGACGACGAATCGGACCCCTTTGAGGTGCTGAAGGCAGCGGAGAACAAGAAAAAAGAAGCCGGCGGGGGCGGCGTTGGGGGGCCTGGGGCCAAGAGCGCAGCTCAAGCCGCGGCCCAAACCAACTCCAGCGCGGCAGGCAAACAGCTGCGTAAAGAGTCCCAGAAAGACCGCAAGAACCCACTGCCCCCCAGTGTTGGCGTGGCTGACAAGAAAGAGGAGACACAGCCGCCCGTGGCGCTCAAGAAAGAAGGTAGAGCCGGGCTCGAAGGCGGGGAAGACCGGGGATGGCGGGAGGGGCGAGGGGAGTTCCGAGGGTCGGCGGGGAACTTTGCCCGATCTCCTCTCACGTTGTCCCCACGCGACAAAAGCCGGGTCCCGCGAAGGCGCGGGGTGCGCGGAGCCTGCCCTTCCCGCCGGACCCGCGGCGGCGCCGCCTTGTGCAGCTTCCCGGGGTGGCGGAGGGCCCCGGGCCCCCAGCTTCTTCCCGGCCGAGCTGTTGTCGCTGCGGGCTCGGGCTCTGCCATCTTGTCCCACGATGGCGCGGGGCGCCCTAGCGAGAAGCGGGGCTCGGAGTTTGCACTTGAGCTGCTTCTGAGTGCCGGGCGCCCCGGGGTGGAGAGAGCGTCTGAGGCTCGGGACGCCACATGTGTCCTCATTGTCCCCGCGACCCCCGACTCGTGGGTGTTGGGGCAAACTCGCCGGCCCCAAGGGGCGGAGGATTCGGCTTGGGACGGACGCGGGAGTGGCGAGCCAGGGCCGGTGTGGCAGCTCACTCCGTGTCGCCGTCCCGTCCTGCCCTAGACCCTCGATGGCGTGTGGCCTCGTGGGTGCGCTGAGTGCGAGGCTGTCACCGCTCGCGTCCCCACCATGTGCGTGAAGCATGGCAGTTAGGAGTTCCTACCCGGGCAGGCAGCTCGCACGGCTGCGTTCTGACTCTTCCCTAGTTTGCCGTGGGTGAAAAAAAAGCCAGAACAACTGGGAATGTGAACGCGCGCGTTGGTCAACAGCGAGGAATTGCGGGACCTCAAGCTTTAAGATTGCCATTGGAGGTTGAAAGTTGAAATTAGTTCTACAGCCACGTGCTCCAGAAAGGAGTTAGTTTGTGCTAGGTTTTGGTGTAAGGATTTTTTTTTTGTTTCGTTTTTTAGATATCTTTTGTGAGAATTGGAATGAAAATCCCAGAACTAGGTGGTAAATAAAACACGAATTCTTGTGTTAACACATAGCTTCGGAGGGGAGAGCATAGCTGGAGTGTTAGAAAGCATGCATGCATCACGTAGGCCAAGTATCTATTCAGTCAGTTTAGCTTTATGGCAATCCGCCGCGATTGAATGCAAATACTCCTGTGTTAAGGAACACTGCCTGGTGCACTTATTTAAACTAGAGGACAGAAATTTACCTCCTTGATTGCACGAATTCCAAGAAAGCGGGTAAGCTGAGTCTAAAGAACAAATCTAAGATCTACGAGCTGGATGTGTTCACTCGTTTTAAATATTTAAAGCATGGGCCATGGTTTAAACACTTCAGTTGTTTTCATCATGAAGCCCATCAATGAAATACTCTAAACTGGAAGTTAGCACTGTTAAGTTATAAATACAGGGAGTTATTTCATAAATTTATAAGTAGGATTTAAATTTGTCATTTACTTAGTCGTTGATTGCTTGGGAAAACTGTCTCACCACTTTCTTTAGTATCATAGAACTTCTGGGGAATTGAACCCAGGTCCTTGCACATGCTAGGCAAACGCTCTACCTCTCAGCTATATCCCCAGTCCTTAAAATACAAGCTTATAAGTACAGGAGAAATGTTAAATGAAAAATACCCATTTTCAAATCCTACTACCTGTCAGTCACTGTTAAATGTTTTGGGAGGTAATACATTTATAAACAAAAGTCCCTACCCTTTATAGAGAGCAGGATTGTTACCCTAATGATGTGTTCTGTGCTTTTGATAACAGTTCCTGGCACAGTGCTAGACATGCTCTAGATGTTAAATACTGTCTTAAGAATTTTGTAGCTTGTCTCTGGCCATTTGAAGAACTTGAGAGTTGACTGAGTGTAAAACAGATTACACTCAGATAAAATCTAGAATCTGGCGTAATTAGCTTGCATATACAGGTAAGTACATCAAAAGAACCTTGCATTTTAAAAAATATCAATGGTTTTCATTAGACAAGTTTATATTTTGTGGTTCTGATGTGGAACCAAGCATCCTGCATGCTAGCCAAGTGCTCTACCACCCCAGCTCCATGATGAGTATAATAAGTTTTTACATTCTGTAGGCCTAATGTTAAATATTGAGTGGGGAAGCAAGCCATTGTTCATTGGGTGTGTTTGGCTTGGATGTCATAAAGACTGGTCACGTGGCTCCACCTCAATACACTACCTCTGATGAAGTTTATTTAAATGCCTTGATGTATTTGTGGTCTGTCCTGAGATTTTACAGGGAATAAAACCTTAAGGTTTCATTAAAGAGATTCATATTTACTGTTTTAGCTGCAATTAATAGGCATCTGAACAATTGGGTGTGTCTTGATGGTGTTCCATCTTTTTTAGAAACAGTGAAATATGTAAGATCTTATAAAACCAATTTCTCAGCTGCACATTGCTTTGTAAAGAAACTGGTTTGGGAATTCCAGTATACCTGAAATCTTATTCATGTGTTTAACTATCAATCTGTCCTTAAGGCTAATAGTAATTCATATTAATTCTCTTTTGGGATCTCTTCATTATCAGGAAAAAAGTAATAAAGGTGTGAAAATCAGTAAATACTTTACCTGTCACTTAGTGCCACTACTGTCTTCTCTGTGTTGGTGTTCAACCTAGGGCCTTGTGCCTGCTAACACGTAACTGACTCTGAGCTACACCTGTATCCTCCTTATTGCATGCTGCTAAAAGAGGGTCTTTTTGTGTCTGTGGTTTTTAAAAATTCTTTGAAAACAAGATACATGGTAAGGGCAAGACCCTCTTCATACTAATAACTGTTTTCTAATGACTATATAATGCTATTTTTTGAAAATTGTGGGAGTGCATATAGATGTGTACAATATGTAGTTTATTACATATAAGAGGAAGATAGTACTTCTACAGCTTTTCTTTTTCCTTTTTTTTTTTTGTAGAGACAATCTGTCTGGCCTCAAGTTCCTTCTAGTTAGTCTCCCAAGTGTGGGGATTATAGGCATGGGCTACCACACCCTGCTTAAGTAGCTATTTTAAACAGTGTGGTCTCTAATAGTCCTAAATTAAATACTTTTTTTTCCCTTTCAGATTGGTGATTTCATAGAATTAGGAGTCTCTTCAAGAAATTTTTTTCTTCAGATTTTGTACAGTAACATAGCATGACCCTCACCTGTCTAGAGGGTCCATAAAGACACTGTGACATCTTGAAATCTAACAGGAATAATGGCTGTCCAAATGTCCACACCTGGGGACACATGGGGATGGGTAACTTGGCAAAATAAGTAGAAGTTTCGAACAAATTTGCTGTTGAATAAGAATTTGCCTTTTTTTTTTAAATATATTAGAGATGACCAGTGTTTGCCTTTTAATTAGTCTAGGCCAAAACCTTGTATTATAAAAGTGATGTGTTATCCTGGCTTATTCATTCTTAGGAATAAGGCGTGTTGGAAGAAGACCTGATCAACAACTTCAGGGTGAAGGGAAAATAATTGATAGAAGACCAGAAAGGCGACCACCTCGTGAAAGAAGATTTGAAAAGCCACTTGAAGAAAAGGGTGAAGGAGGCGAATTTTCAGTTGATAAGTAAGTTCTAAAAAGGTTTCTTCATGTTTTGTCTTCATGTTTGCAGCTTTGTAGTTGCATCTTAACATGAAGCTGTAAGTTGGGTATAATTGCCAAGTGGCAATGTGGCTGAATACTAGAAACGGTGAGTGTGCATTGTTACATCTTTTGTAATGTACACTTCAGTTGAATTGATAGCCTATTTCTTTTCCTTGCTCTCCCCAGATGTTCAGTTAAAAGGACAATACTACTGGTTAATTGCTTGTAGCAAGCTACTCTCCGTGTAGGCTAGATGTGTTTATTTAAATTTTAAGTGTTTTGATAGACAGCAGTATTATTGGACAATAGTGATGAAAAAGTATATGCATTGGTGGTAATGTTGCAAAGAATGCCAAGATAATTTGTTTCGGAGAGGTGGGTTAATTCCTATAGACTTGAATTTTCTAAAACACGTATTTAGCCATAGGGTTATAAGCCAGAACATGTTCTATATTTTCAAGTCTTTGAATGGATTTCACCTATTTTTCTGTAAGCCTTGGAGGTAAAATTTTTAAATTTGTATTGTAGACCAATTATTGACCGACCTATTCGAGGCCGTGGTGGTCTTGGAAGGGGTCGAGGAGGCCGTGGACGTGGAATGGGCCGAGGAGATGGATTTGATTCTCGTGGCAAACGTGAATTTGACAGGCATAGTGGAAGTGATAGATCGTAAGTCTTAATATTGGTTATTTTACTTTTAGATTTTTATGTTTAATAAAATTTGAAAATCTAGAACTAAAGAGTATTATGTTAACTCAGTTTTGTTAGTTCTTTTTCACATTACAGCGGCCTGAAGCATGAAGACAAACGTGGAGGTAGCGGATCCCACAACTGGGGAACTGTCAAAGATGAATTAACGTTGGTATTCTGATTTTTTTTAAGTTAATTACTTTGGATAAAATTGCGTCTATAACTTATTTAGAGGCTTACCCGTTCTTAAGTTTTGTCCTGAGACAATAATAGATGCTCTCATTGCAGAGATATTTTATAAGATAGTATTTTATGGGATAGGTTTGGGTGATCATGTATCAAATGACCAGTTTTTCTATAGTTAAGGACATGTGTTATTTTTGTCATACGGATAAATACAGCTTTTCCTGAGACTCCACATTGAATTTATTTGGATATTCTGATTTGTGTCTTCAATAAACCTATTCTAGCTATTGCATTGTAGTCCCTATAAAATTTGGTAAGCCAATGAAATTTTGTTTTAAAAGTATATGAACTAACTTAAACCATAATTTATTTTGTTTTCTCTTAGAGATCTAGTGGGGAGTAAATTTAGTAGAAATGTTTAAAGAACATGAAATTTTTATTTTTATATGAGGAACACTTCAGCTACATGTAAATGGACCTAGATGCCTTTCTTTTTCTTTCTTTCCTTAGAGAGTCCCCAAAATACATTCAGAAACAAATATCTTATAATTGCAGTGACTTGGATCAATCAAATGTGACTGAGGAAACACCTGAAGGTGAAGAACATCCTGTGGCAGATACTGAAAATAAGTAAGTGGCATATATGAGGAGTATTGTTCCAACATTGAAATCAGTTTGGGTTTTTACCAATAAGATAATAGATTCAGTGCTGTTACTTAACGGCTCTTTGACAGGAGAGAGTTTTTTGTTTTGTTTGAGGCAGGCTTGCTGCGTAGCTGAGGCTGACCTCAGATACAAAGTCTTCTTGCCTCAGTCTCCTGAGTGCTGGGATTACAGGCATGTACCACCATCCCTGACATATTAGAAATACATATTAAGAAATACAGATACTTTAGTAAAACCTGTTAAGCCTAATTACAAAAGTGGCTTGCTGTAACCTCAGGATGGAGAATAGGAGTAAGGTGCCATAGATTTGACCTAACTAATTCAAGTTGATACAAAGGTTGTAGCGAGTAATTCCAGTAAGCTGTTCACAGTTGTGCAAGATTGCCCACACTTCTAATCCCAGCTCTCGAGGCTGAAGCAGGAGATTTGAGAGTTCCAGGCCACTGTGGGCTGAACAGTGAGTTCCTGTCTCAAAAAGCAACTAACCAAAAAAGGCTGTTAAGTCCTGAGATATTGAATAGGTGGAAACTAGAAGGTGAAGTTGGAGGTTCTAAAAATGAGACCAAATTGTTGGCATAAAAGATATTTGTTGTATTCAGAACTCATAGCCCAAAGTAGTTTTGTGTTTTACAATTATATTGATTAAAACTAGAGCCATGCCCCCAGCTCTAGGACACAACTTAAAATTAGTTCCATCTCTTAAGTTTTTATCCTTTAACGTATAACTTGGAATAGCGTTATTGTCTTGTTTTGAATGAGGAGAGCAAGATAATATTATTCAGTAGCTTTCTTAATGTTTATTTTGTCAGTCTAGGTCAAGGGCTTGGTTTTGAAGTTTTCAGTTTTTGAAAGGTGAGAGTTTTAACTTAAACTTAGGATGGTAGAAATAATTTAATGCATACTTGAAGTTTGTATGCACGAAAGCAAAAGTGTTAACGCCTGTCAGACCAGGTATGGTGGTTCAAACCTGTAATCCTAGCTACTTACAAAGTCGGGAGGATTATCATTGAAGACTAGCCTGAGCAAAAAGCTCAGTAGACCCCATCTCAATTAGTGGGGCATGGTGGCACACATGTTACCTGTTATATAGCTGCAGGGACAAGGCACAAATAGGATTTCGGTCCAGGCTAATTTGGTGTAAAACAAGACCCTATCAAAAATAGTCAGTGAAAAAAGGGTTGGCAGAGTGACTCAAGTGGTAAACACCTGCCTAGCAAGCAAAAGGTCCTGAATTCAACCCCCAGTACTACAAAAAATAAAGTATGTGTCAGTCAGTTTATAGTTAAGTTCTTGGATTAGATATTATTTAGGGCTGTGATCTTTTTTAATTGATAGATAATAATTGTACATATTTATGGGATGCTGTAGTATTTCTATATATGTATATAATGTAGTGATTAGATCAGGATAATATATCTATTACCTGAAACATTCACCATTTCTTTGTAGTGGGAAGATTCAAAATTCTCTGTACCAGCTATTTTGAAGTACATAATTAACTCTTGTCTTTCCTAGTTACCTTATTGTGCTATCAAACATTAAAAGTTATTCCTTCCATTCAATTACACCTGTAAGCCATCCCCTCTCCATCTCTCTGGATCCCCACACACTTTCAAGACTTTTTTCTTTATGCGGTGCTGGGGTTTGAACTCATGGCCTCATCCTTGCTAGCTAGGCAGGTGCTCTTAACCACTTGAGCTATTTTCCCAGCCCCTTTCTATACTTACAACCATTATTCTACTCTATGAGATCAACTTTTAACTTTTGCTTAGAGACATAAAAGTGAGAACCATGCGGTAATTTGTTTTTCTGAGCATGTTTTTTTGTTGTATGTGGGGGATTCATTTTGACAGTTCCAAATAGGCTTACATTGTACATTGGTTAGCTTGCCCCACCATCTTTCCCACCTCACTTAAAGCAATTGCGAGAGGTTTCTTTGATTTTTTTTGTATAAGTAAATGAACCCTATCAACCATATGGCCTCACCTTGATCTCTTTTATTCACTCTGCCCCTCCCACAAGTCCGTACCCCCCCCATCCCTGCGCCCACACACTATACCTATTTTATAGTCCTGTCTCTTGTTATTAATACCTGAGTTGATGTTCAAAGGGGTTTCTCAGTGTATCCCTGCTGTGAGTATACTTTACTTTGTCAGTTCAACCCCTTATCCCTTTATCTCCATCCCCCCATTTTTCAAATAGCTTTTAGTACATAGTCTTACATCCTCTATCTTCACAGATATAATGTTTTATGATTTCTGATTTGTTACATAATATCCTCCACTTCCATCAAATCCACTTCCATCAAAGTTGTTGCTGGAAAAAAAATCCCCAGAATTTCATTCTCTTTATGTCTGACTAATACTCCAGTGTGTGTGTATACTACATTTTCTTTATCCATCTGGTTGATGGACACATTGGTTGATTCTATATCTTGCGTTATTGTGACTAGTCCTGCAGTAAATATAGGGGTGCATGTATTCCATTAAAATACTGATTTAATTTCCTTTTGCTATATGCCTCAGTAGCGGGATTGCTGGATCCTGTCGTAGTTCTATTTCTAGGGTTTTTTGTTGTTTGCTTTTGAGGAACTTCCATACTCTTTTTCATTGTGGTGGTACTAATTTATTTACATTCTAATTTATTTACAGTAGTGTATGAGAGCTCTACCTTCTCTGCATCACCACCAGCATTTATTATTTTCTGTCTTTTTGATAGTAGCCATTCTGACTAGGGCGAGATGATAACCTCCTCGTTGTGGGTTTTTTGTGATACTGAACTTTTTTTTTTTTTTTACACACTTTTTGGCTTGCATGTCTTTGAGAAATGTGTGTTTGGATCATTTACCTCTTTTAATCAGAGCATTTGGATTTTTTGCTGTTGAGCTGTTTATGAGTTCCTTATATTCTCTATTGTCAGATGAATGGTTTGCAAACATTTTCTCGTTTTGTAGGCTGTCTCTTGACTGTTGTTTTCCTTTGCTGTGCAGGAGCTTTTTAGTTGTAATCCCTTTATCAATTTTTGCTTCTGTGCCTTTGCTTTTGGGGTTATATCCCAAAAAGCTCTGTCTAGACCAATTCCCTAAAGCATTTTTTCCATTGGTTCTTTGATCCATAATGAGTTGATTTTTCTATGCAGTGAAAGATACGGATCTAGTTTTATTCTCTTGCATAGGAATATCCAGTATTCCCAGCACTATTGCAGAGACTACCCTTTACCCAATGTATGTTCTTGGTGTCTTTGTCAAATCAGTTAGCTGTGAAATACATGGATTTATTTCTGGGTTTTCTGTCCTATTCCATAAGTCCACGTGTCTTTTTATAAAGGACAGTGATTCTCAACTAGACCACCTATGAATTAATTGGAGAGGGGTATCCTCTTTCTAAACTTACCCTTTTCTCCAGGAAGAATTTTTCTTACAGTGAACTACTATTAATGATGAGAGAGCGTATCATATTCCCTGGGCTTGTTGGCATAAGGGAAGATGATTTGCTGTTGGAGGGAATAGATGAGAGTACATGGTGTTAGATGATGATTTGTATTTGGGATAATAGAAACATTTATATGAAACTGTGGAGTTAAAATTTTGTGTAGTAAACAATAAAAGTGTGATTGAATTAAATCAAGTTTAATTAAATGAAGTTTAACCCCCACAGTGCTCAGCACAACTGTTCCTTTATTAAAGGACCTGTGTTTGAATCTTTCAGAGTGATCTGCAAAAATTACAATTGTTTACCAAAAGGAAATGATACACTGACAGAATACTGGAGGCACATCCTCAACTCAGGACCAAGGAATAAAATTGGGGATAATGGGTAATGATATCATGTCAGAGCAGCCTCTACTCTTACTCTTTAGTAGAGGAGGCATAGTATTTTAGCTTGTATGTGGAAGTATAAATTTTAAGAAGCACAGCTTAGTTTCCAGAGCTTCAATATAGTTTCTTATTTAACCTTTAAAGCAGTCTTAAAAATGGGTGTCTTGGCTTCCTGATGTGATCAAAGGTATTAGTGCTAATCTTGGCTGTGTCATAATTGATAAGTCACTAGGGCTGTTTTTAGATCCTTAGTTTTCTTATCTGTAAGCTGACAAAGTTAGACTCAATACCCAGTGTAAACTTGCTCTTGGAAGTTTTAAGGTAGGATTGGAGATACTTGAACACTGAGGCTAACTAAATGGTTTGCTATCTTTGGAAAGAAGCAGTACTCCCAAAATAGCAAATGACATGTTTGGTGACAATTGGAAATTGAGATTAGACTAAAACAATGGATTCCTAGGCCTGTGGTTTATTTCTGTAAAAGGGGGGCAAGTGTAACTAAAGTAGTTACAATCTGAGAATTACATTTGGAAATACTGTTTTGGTTAGTGAAACAGTGTGTTAGTAGGGAAACTATGGCCCATACAGGTTGACCTGAAAGTTGGAGTATATAGATTTTAGGATTTGTGGAAATTTAGCTTGTTTAAATTTTTTTACTTTGTCTTAATATGCTAGTTGATGAAGTTCAAGGGTTGTTCTTTTATGTTGTACCCTATGAAACCTGGTGGCTCACCAGGCATCCTGTCTAGGCCATGGGCCTTCATATATGTTATGAGTTATATGCTATGAGAGAATTACAGAAAATAAAAGTGTATTTTAGGAGAAGATAGTCTGAGGATGTTAATCACATGAGAGTTTAGAGTCCCTGAGTTCAAACCCTAGTACCACCAGAAAAAGACAAAACAAACTAAAGTATCGTTTCAAAGAAATATATAAAGGATTAGTAAGGCCAGTTCAAAATCTTGTTAATGATGAGTGATTGTCTGAGAAGGTAAATTGTCTATTCCTAGGTTATCCTTTTTCTCACTGATGAATAGCACTGAACTCCTGAACTCTACCATATTGCATGTTAGCATTGGGTTATACAGAAAACTAGGATACTACTGTCTTTGGGTAATCTTTCTAAAAGATTACTGATCAGGCAGGATTAGTTTCCTTGTAAGTTTGAAATATTTTCATATAAATTAATGCTAGACATTTAGTATAAAATTTAAACATCTTTTCACAGGGAGAATGAAGTTGAAGAGGTTAAGGAAGAGGGTCCAAAAGAGATGACTTTGGATGAGTGGAAGGCTATTCAAAATAAAGACCGGGCAAAAGTGGAATTTAATATCAGAAAACCAAATGAAGGTGCTGATGGGCAGTGGAAGAAGGGATTTGTTCTTCATAAATCAAAGAGCGAAGAGGTAAAGTTAAGATACGTGGTATTTGAATGTGTTCAGATCTGACTTGAATCGTGCTTACGATTTTTGCTTAGATTTTATGGATAATACTCTATGAAACAAAACCTTTTTATTTGTGGCAACTAACTTGCTCTAAAAGGAAAACTAATTGCATTTTTCTTTTTTGAAGTTAAAGTTTTTTGAAATCTTACCTAACTGGGAATCATTAGAAGACTGCTGTATTAAGTTGAAATGTGGCATTTTCATATTTTAGCCTAAAAACAAGGAACTTTATATAGTAGTCACCTTTTAATACTGTCTGCCTACACCATATGTATTGGTAGGGACTTCACTAAGTGTTAGTATTCTTTACTGAAGAATATTGCCTTATAAAGACCAAATGACAAAACTTTCCTTTATTTGGGAAACCTGGAAATTAATGAAAATACCACAGAAAGGCACATTGGTGGCTTCTACTTAAGCCTTGTGGCATCTTCTTAAAGGAATGTCCCAATGTTGTATCCTGTTAAGGTTTGTGCAGTAGGAGAGCTTAGCCAAATCGAACTACATTATTTCCTGTGCTAAATTCTTTTCTACCACCTTCTTTTGACCTTCTGAGTATACATCTATTCATGTCATGAATAGGTCTGTGGCAGAAATTCAGGGTATAAATCCTACTATGCTAAGGTAAAGTTAAGTTAAATGTTAGGAAGGCATTCTGTAATAAATAGATTCAGTAAGATGTTACTTACTTTGGTGCTGAGATTGAAGTTGGTGTCAAGCATGCTAAGCATGTGTTCTGCCACTGAGTTCTACCTACATCCCAACCCTCAGTAAGAACACTGCATTTTAGTTTACTAAACATAAAAGTGCCTGAGACAAATGTGGGAGATGTTATAAAACAGAGGATGATTTTTCTACATTCAGAGAAGAAATGAGTTTGAGGGTGGGGGATAGAGTATTTGGGTTTGAACTCGGGGCCTCAGGCTTGCCAGGCAGGCACTCTACCACTTGTGCCACACCCTCAGCACAAGTTATTTTTCAAGTAGAGTTGTGAGTTTTTGCCTGGGGCTGGTTTCAGAAGGGGATCACCCTACCTATAGCTTCCTTCATAGCTGGAATTATGGGCATTACCACTACAACTGACTTATGGTTGAGATGGGGTCTTTCAAGTTTGTTGTGTGGGCTGTCCTCAAACTGCAGTCCTTCTGAGTAGCTGGAATTATAAGAGTTAGTCACTATGGCCCACCCCATAAGGGATGTTTTAACATGTACCTCATAAAAATAGTAAATGAGGACATTATCTTAAATGTGGTCTTGTAGAAAAAAATCATTTTGTTTCATTAGAATACTTAAGGTTTTTGTTTGTTAATGTGTCAACATCAATAGTAGAAACCTTGTGTGTCCTCTGTAAAAGTCTTTTTCAGGGGTTCATATTTGGAATCCTAATCTGAAGGGCATATTTAAGATGTACTCTACAGATTTCACTGCTAAAAATGGCCATTCACTAGGTCTAGAACAGGGACTAAGTTAGTTGGATTGATTATGTACCTTTGATCAAGAACTGCCAATATCACCTGCAGCTCAAAGAAATTAGAGATACAGGAAGGGAAGAGAGTTCCTACTTCAAGAGCAGTGTAGCTGAATCCAAAGCTAACATTACCTATAGTGATGGTGTATATATTCATTCACAAAAAGTATAGATTGGATAGTTGGGGTTTGTTTTACAACTTGAGCCACTCCACCAGCCCTTTTTTATGATGGGTTCCCCCCAGATGGGGAGTTGAGAACTGTTTGCACAGGGCTGGTTTCAAACTGTGATCTTCCTGATCTCCGCATCCAGAGTAGCTAGGATTACAGGTTGGGCCACTGGCACCTGCTTGTTTTGTTTTATTGAAAGTTCATTATTTAGAGACAGTATTGCTTTCCTATTAATTACCCAGTGACCTTCAATTAACATTTTTAGGCTCATGCTGAAGATTCTGTTATGGACCATCATTTCCGGAAGCCAGCTAATGATATAACATCTCAGCTGGAGATCAATTTTGGAGACCTAGGCCGCCCAGGACGTGGTGGCAGGGGAGGACGAGGTGGCCGTGGGCGTGGTGGACGTCCAAACCGTGGCAGTAGGACTGACAAGGTAATTTAAGACTTCTTTTTCCCCTTTTAAATAATGCAAGGACCTTTCTGATAAATCACTGACTGCCTGGGTGTTTTGGGGACATAAGAGTTGAAAAGGTAGATGTCCATTACACCATTCATTAAATGTGTCCATTAACCATTATATGACACATAGTTAAAGACAGTTTGTTTTTAATTTCCTACTAAACTCTTCTGGGAGAGCTGGTATCCATGGGGGCTTTGTTGGTGTTTGTTTCCTTGTCTGATTGTTTTAGATATGGACTCAATATGTAGCCCAGGTTGACCTCAAACCTGCAGTCCTCCTGGCTGCCTTAGCCTTCTAAATGCTGGGATTACAAGTGTGCACCACTACCCCTTACTAGTTAGACTCTTCTATCATTGATGAATATGCTACTAAAATAATTCATTGGTTTCTTAGCCTGCTTTCATCTTTATGATATTAATTAAGTGGGAAAACTATATGAATACTAAACAACTGAAGACTCCACATGTCCCATGTGAATCCACTTGTGTGTTTTTACAGGGGAAGAAGCCGGGCATGGTGGTGTACACATGTAATCTCCATACTTGGGGTGCAGAAACAGGAAGTAGGAGGATCCCAAGTTTGAGGCTGGCCTGGGCTACATAGCAAGACCTTGGCTCAAAATAAAAAACCAAGGGCTGGGGACAGAGCTCAGTGGTAGCTGTCTCTAGTACTGTGGGGAAAAGAAAAAGAAAAATAATACTTTCAGTTTCATAGGTCCTAACAGAAATTAAGGACGTTTCATTGCAAATACTTGTACTCTGATTCATAATTTTGCCTTTTAAGTAAAAGCTTTAATATATTTCAACTTGAAAGCTTTTTAGAGTTCTGTGTTTAAATGTAGACACTGGCAGTGTATTTTCAAGATTGGAGAGTTGTGGTTAATTCTGGTTTGTTTCTTTTCCAGTCAAGTGCTTCTGCTCCTGACGTGGATGACCCAGAGGCATTCCCAGCTCTGGCTTAACTGGATGCCATAAAACAACCCTGGTTCCTTTCTGGACCCTACTGTTCTAAGCTTTTTGCATGCTTAAGGATCCCAGATGACCAAGAAATTTAAAAAAAAAAAAAAAAAAAAAAGACTGTCATTCATACCATTCACACCTAAAGACTGAATTTTATCTGTTTTGAAAATGAACTTCTCTCGCTACACAGAAGTAACCAATATGGTAGTCAGTTTTGTATTTAGAAATGTATTGGTAGCAGGGATGTTTTCATAATTTTCAGAGATTATGCATTCTTCATGAATACTTTTGTATTGCTGCTTGCAAATATGCATTTCCAAACTTGAAATATAGGTGTGAACAGTGTGTACCAGTTTAAAGCTTTCACTTCATTTGTGTTTTTTGATTAAGGATTTAGATGTTCCGTAACTACAGACCGGTTTTAAATATTGGGCATAATACTGGTTTTAATACCAGCTTTGCGTTTTCACACATGGTCAACAGGAACATGTAAACTTTGATATGTCAAATTTTATGCTGTGTGGAATACTAACTACTTTATGTATTTTAACTTAGTTTTAATTTCATTTTTGGGGAGAAATCTTTTTTTCACTTCTCATGGTAGCTGTTAATATGCTAAACCTTTATATACAGGAAATACCATTACTTGAACAAATTCAAAGCACATTGGTTTATTAACTCTTGCTTCTGCATGGTTCATTAGATTCAGATTATACCTCATTCACAATTCCAACTACATTTACTTTTTAAATGTATGACTTTCCCATTTTAAAAGCTAAACTAGACACTTATTAGTAGAAGTTGTTTAAGCTACTTATTATCTAGTGAAGTCATTTTATTGGGTATGGGTTTTCCCTTCCTCCAATAGGGTGGTTGGAATAGGTTGACTTGGTAATGCATAATCTTTAAAGTTCTGTTAGGTAAGTTTCTGGCCACTTGATATAAGTGCTTTATGAAAGTTCCCAAAATCAAAATGATACATTTATTATCAACAACCTTTTAACCCTCCTGTGTTGAAACCAAAGGGCACTGGTTAGTGTGGCAAGATGGAAGAGTATGTTAATTTTTGGAATTTGGAAGGTAGACATCTTTATAAGGTTGGAACAGCAGCACCATCCATAAAATGCAAATGAAAAAAATCTCAGTGAATTTCCTATAATATTATTTGGTCTAAAGTTAGTAGATGAATGTTCCACAGAAAGTGGTAAGTAATTTTTCCCCTCTTCATTAGAAAATTAGGTAGTTTAATGGATTGCTTGAACAGGGGCATCACCACTTATTTAGAAAGAAAATACATGGATAGAATGGTCAATAAACAGGTTTGTAGGATTTTTAAAAAAATTCTGCACATTATTCATTAAATGGGGAAGGAATTTAAAAGTTTTAATGCTCATTTGTCAGTAATTTTCTACCTCTGACCCATTTTTAAAGTATTGAAGATCTTAAACATGTTTGTAATTTAATGGACTTGTTTTCACATACACTTCTAAAAAGAGATTGTACAGTACAAGACTTACTCATTTGGTTAGATTTATTAATCTAGTTACTTACTAGTCTTGACATATCTTAGGAAAAGGGTAATTTTTTTTTTTTTAGTGATAAACTTGTGCTGGTGCATTGGGTCTTAAGATGTTGAGCATGGTGTGCATTGGTGCTAATATATAGTTTCATATCTACAAACATGTCTACTCCCCAGAAGAAAGTATGAATTTAGTCCATATTATCTATTGAACCCTTTTGAGATTGCAACATATGTACTCTAAATCAGTGTTTTAGACTTTCTTTCGCTCGTTTCTGAATTTGTAACATGTTTATGAACCCCTTGATTTCCAGCAACACATTATACTAAGTACCTACCAAAGGTACTTCACAAGTTATACTCGCTGTCAGCCATTGTCACCAGAGAGCACACAGCAGTATTTGGTATGTTGCAAGCTTTGAAGACAGCCTAAACTTGAAAAAGTTGGTCCATTAGTTGTATCTGATGGGTGTGAGTTTGCCTCTTAGTTTCCTTTTGTGAAGAGCTAAAACTGTGAACCTAACCTTCTCATTGGTGGGTAATAACTGAAAATAAAGATTTATTTTCATGCTCACTTTTTAAAAGCCATAAAAGCAATCAAGTAGGAGCCTGTTTATCAAGTTTCTGATACTGACCTCTGCACCCTCAATGTAATGTTTAGATTTTATGTGAGATTTCTTCTAGGCTTGTCAATTCACATTTGGGAGGAATACTTAATGACAGTTTGGAGAGTTGAATTTAGGTAAAATGTGAGTTTCAGTGGCTGGCAACAATTGTTATTTTGTTTTTCTACTGGAAGTCATACTAAATGGCTGTTTTCTAGTGACAAACTGGGTATAATATTTAAGAGAAAGATCCCTTATTGGATATACATTCCTAAAATAATGATGGTTGATATTTCAGTGAATTTCTAGCTTAATGCTTATAAATGGAAATGATACCAGAACTGAAAATTTTTTTGTTTGTTTTTTTGTGCCTCAGAACTAAAATTTATAAGCCATTTCCAGCTGTACTAAAATGATTGGGGATATGGTTTAATAGCTGAATACTGTTTTGAGATCTGTGGAGTTAGCAAGATAATTCATCTCCAGAAATGTGAATATATTTGGGGCTTGTTTTGGGTATGGGTTTGGGAGGAGAATAAGTTTTCATTCTGATTATATATTTTTTCAAATTGCTAGAGATGATAGCTTAAATAGGAAAGTGTTAATAGGGAGTTGGGTGCAAAGTTTTTGTATATTGAATTTTTAAAATATGTTTTTAAGAGCACTAGCAAGTTGAAGAAACTGACATATTTAACGGCTTTTTAAGAGGCAAGAAATGTGAAGCTGCTAGAATCTGATGTTAGTTTTGATTTTTTCTTTTTCTTTTGGTGGCACTGGGGTTTGAACTCTAGGCCTTATGCTTGCTAGCCAGGTGTTCTTACCACTTGAATCAGTTCGCCAGCACTGATGTTAGTTTTAAAGGTAAGATAATGCAGGTATATTAATAGATATCCAGTCCAACATTGAGCTAATGGAACAGAAACAACTCATTTTTTTTGGGTGTTGAGGATTGACCCAAGCCTTGCACGTGTTGGGCTATATCCTGAGCTACAACCCTGCTGTTGGAATTTTTTTTCTTTTTGTGGTACTGGATGGGGATTGATATCAGGGCTTTGCACTCTTGTCACTTGAGCCATGTCACTAGGCCTGTGCTTTTATTTAGTAAAATAAGTAAATGGTTACAAAATAGATTCTAACCAAAACCTTTGTAATTATACTGAGATTAATACATAAATCTTAAGTGAATCTGAATGTTTTAAGCCGTGATAAGGATAGAACCCAGAACCTTGTGCATGCTAGGCAAGGGCAAGTGCTGAATCCCCAGCTTGGATTGTTAGGTTTTATTGAGATAATTATCAGAAGTGGTAGCTTTCAAAAGTATGAGTTATTTTTTGCTTAGCTACACTCTTTTGGGGGTATGTTTTGACTTGAGATCTTGATTTTTAAATTCAAATTTGGGGTTTATATGAGAAGTGGTTGAAATGAATCAGGCTGAGGAATTAAATCCAAAAATAAAAGGAAGGTTACAGCCCATAAATCTTAATTTCAGAAGGTGATGGGGATTAGATGTTAAAGCCAATCAAAATTTGGACCTCAAATGAAAGTACTACATTGGGTATAATTATTTAAAAGTAGGATATCTAATCCAAGTGTAAGGAAATGTTAGCCTGTGACCTGTATATTCCCAAGATGGATAAATGGGTTTTACCGTTTTAAAGGGTTAAAAGAAAGAAACTGCTAGAAATAAAGCCTACAAAGCCTGTGACCCCATATAAAGTGTGTGCAGTATCCTCCTCTGCTGTCACTTCCAGGTCAACATGTAAAAGCTCTTTTAAAACAAAAGTTTAGTTCTAGGTACAAGTTAAATCATCCTATTTAAGGAAGTTCTGAAGTAAGTAATTTTAATGCAATCTTAAGAGATGCTATCATAAAACTCATTTTAAAGCAGGATGGTGTAGTTTGCAACTTTAAATATATTCTGAAAACTGAGTGCTGTAAAGGTAAATGAAATGCCATGATTATGTAATACTACACATTGAATGGCACCTCTCCTATCACTTAGTGCCAAGCTTTGTGTTGGGTGAATTGATTTTTCGATGGTAATTAGGTATATTTCATAGACAAGAAAACAAGTATGTTTTAATTTCATAGATTGAGCTGGGCCTGGAATTAATGGCCTCTAGAGTTAGGTATACCCATTTAATTTGGGCTCCCTCACTTGGGAGGCTGAGGCAAGAGGATCTTTGAGTTTAGGCTCCTTAACCTAATCCTTGTCTGAACTGCCACCAGGAAAAAAAAAAACAAAAAAACATTTAGGCAGAATGTAGCTTTTGTGGTATTGACTACTAATGTATAAAACTAGGGAGTCTGTTTACTTCTAAATGAAAGGAAAAGGTGAGAAATGACCCACAAATTAGAAAATAATTTGCCCAATGTTGTGGTTGATTTGTAGGTATAAACTTGTTGCCATTGATGTTGTAGATTTGTCTCTTGTTAACATTTGGATGAGACAGTTGTGTGTGGATGGATATGCCTAAGGGTTTTGCATGAAAGACATACAGAAGATAACTGGCAATAGTGATTTGATTATGGACATTAACAAGTCTGTGTGGATAATTGTTTTATACCAGGTGATGAGAAAAACAGGTGAACTGACCCACTGGTGACTGTTTCTTAAATACTTGTATTCTTGGTGTGGAAAATGAGGGGCTGATGTTCAGCATTTTAATGTGTTTTTGAATGGAGAAAGTGGGAAGTAAATTTCTTTGGACAGTTACACTGGTTTGCACTTAGCACTTTGCAGTTGTAGCTGAGTCATTTCTAGAACTTAGGACCTAAAAGTATTTCTGATTTGAAGAAATACCATATATTTTCTTAGACCTAGAATGAAAATTATAAAGTGATCCAGATTAACTTGGTGTTTGGTATTAGATTGCCTAGAATTTTGTTATACTGGCTAGTAGAACACTTAGTTCTACTGGCTAGGATTACAGGCATATACTGTCACACATGGCAGTTTGTTAATGTATCTTTCTTGGAAATTCAGATTTTCTAACTTCAACTTGATTTCAATTTACTACTTTTAAGTGTACTACTTAGATGTTTGCAGAAGCTTTCCCTAGATGCTAAAGTCTAAATAAGGAGCTTTTAAAGAATGTATGGGACTCTTGGATTAGATAAAGTACTTTTTATGGTCATTAGTCATGAGAGGAAAAATAATATGCCTAGCAGGTCTTCTGTGTTTGTCTCACACTGCTGTATTTGGTTCATCACAGTACACCCTACCCTGA